GTGTGGAGATGGCGACTAGCGGACAACAGAACAATACTGGAATGGTTGTTATACAAGGAAATAGTATCATCATGTTAGAAGCCTTGGAATGAGTATAAATAATGGCTGTTGAGCAGAGAAACCCATGTCCCCTCTCCATAGGGCCTGTTTTACTATGATGTAAAAATTAGGTCATGTACATTTTCATATTAGACTTTTTGCTAAATCAACTTTTGTAATAGTAAAAAAAAAAAAAAAAAACCACTGACAAAAGAACCAAGCAAGTTTATGAATAGAGGGTTCTCACGAGGATCATGAACTCTGTGATTTTCACTCAAGTGGAACACAATCTTTGGTGTGTGGCCAAAAGATCTTTGTAAGTACTGCCTGTACCTGAGTGGGATTATTTAGATTGATCCTGAAAATGCAGCAGGCATTGTTCCTTTATGAAAATTTTAGTGAGATACTGGACGTGAGGGGAGTGCAAAAACCAGGGTGAAATCAGAAATTAGAGCGGGAGTGCAAGGACAATAATATATATTATAAAAAAATAATATATATTAATAATTTAGGGCAGTAATACTCTATCACAGCATATAAAAACTCCATAATTTATTGTATAATGCTGCCACTGGGACAAAGACACATGTAGTAGGCCAACTGCAACAAAAACCACTGGCTTTGGTAGAGTTTACAGAAAGCATGATTTAACCTGTCAAATGATGGAATATGAACTAAAATTTTGTAGTAGGTCTCAAAGAGGAGAATGAACATTTAAGCCTCATATTTTGTTTGATCATAGGAATCTTGGCTGGTACAATGCTGAAATGATTTGATTCTAGGAAAATTGGGGCTTTGAAGTGTGTTGAGACTTATGGGTTGACCTGTGATCCGTGTTTGCAGGTGGTTTATGTGTGCTTCGGTACAATATACTATACATGTTCTTCAGAACAAGCTTGTTAAGCATGTTGCACAAATCTGCCTGTAGTCTATTATCTATTCTGTTGAATCCATCAATTACTAAGAAGGGATTTTAAAATCTCATGGGAGCACATTTGTCAATATCTTTTCATTGTTCTGGCAAATTGTGCCTTATATGTTCTGATACTGTGTGTTTATTATTAAGCGTAAACAAAAATTATGTATGTAACTTCCTGGTGAAGTGAACACTCTATCACCGTGTGAAGTTTTCTGCATTTTAGTTTGTACTCATGCTGCTGTACCGTCTTTTTTCTGTTATTTGCTTGGCAAATCTATTCATTCCCTTTCAAACTCTCTATGCCTTTATGTTCTACATTTGCCACTTGTAAATGACATATAGTGGATTTTGTTGTGTTTATATCCAGTTCAGGAATTATTGTCTTTTAAATGCAGGTTTCTTTTTACTTTTTTGAATGTTTTCACTTTTCACCCAAGCTGGAATGCAGTGGTGTGATCATGGCTCACTGCAGCATCAGCCTTCTGGGCTGAAGCCATCCTCTTGCCTAAGCCTCCGAGTAGCTGGGACTATAGGCTTATGCCACCAAGCCTGGCTAATTTTTCCTTTTTTTTTTTTTAGAGATAGGAGTCTCACCGTATCATCTAGGCTGGTCTCTAACTCCTGGCCTCCAGCAGTCCTCCTGCCCTGGCCTCCCAAAGTTAATGTATTAGTCCATTTTCACACTGCTACAGAGAAACTACCTAAGACTGAGAAATTTATAAAGGAAGGTTTAAGAGACTCAACAATTTTCCCACCTCAGCCTCCCAATTAGCTGGGACCACAGGCACATGACACCACTCCCAACTAATTTTTAATTTTTTTGTAGGGAGGGTATCCCCCTATGTTGCTCAGTCTAGTCTTGTATCCCTCGGCTCAAGTGATCCTCCCACCTCAGCCTCCAAAGTGCAGGGAGTGTAGGCATGAGCCACATCTAGCCCCGTTTTTTCCCTTCTCCAAGTCAAGTGGGAAGTCAACACAAACTAAAAACCAAGGCCAGGTACAGTGGCTCACACTTGTAGTTCCAACACTTCAAAGGGTGAAGTAGAAGAATGACTTGAGCTTTGGAATTTGAGACCAGCCTGGGCAAAAAGTGAGACTTCATCTGTACTAAAAGTACAAAAAATTAGCCAGGCATAGTGGCACATGCCTATAGTCCTAACTACTTGAGAGGTTGAGATGGGAGGATTGCCTGGGCCTGAGAGGTCAAGGCTGTATTGAACAATCATTGCACCACTGCACTCAAGCCTGAAAGACAGAGTGAGACTCTGTCTCAAAAAAAAAAAAAAAAAAAAAAAAAAAAAAAAAAAAAAAAAAAATTAGGAAAAGAAAATCAATACATAGAAGTGATAGACTCTTTTTTTTTTTTTTTTTTTTTTTTTTTTTGAGACGGAGTTTCGCTCTTGTTACCCAGGCTGGAGTGCAATGGCACGATCTCGGCTCACCGCAACCTCCGCCTCCTGGGTTCAGGCAATTCTCCTGCCTCAGCCTCCTGAGTAGCTGGGATTACAGGCACGCGCCACCATGCCCAGCTAATTTTTTGTATTTTTAGTAGAGACGGGGTTTCACTATGTTGACCGGGATGGTCTCGATCTCTTGACCTTGTGATCCACCCGCCTCGGCCTCCCTAAGTGCTGGGATTACAGGCGTGAGCCACCGCGCCCGGCCCTGTGATAGACTCTTATAGCTCTAATGAACTGTGTATTATGGCCCAGGCTATAACAACATGCTTTATACATATATTCCTCACATTATAAGAACCTTGCAAGGCTGGGCACAGTGGCTGATGCCTGTAATCCCAGCACTTAGGGAGGTGAAGGCAAGCGGATAACCTGAGGTCAGGAGTGCTGAATTACAGGTGTGAGCCACCGTGCCTGGCCTATGGCATCTTTTTGTTGGTTTGTTTTTGAGATAGAGTCTCACTATGTCTCCAGGCTGGAGTGCAGTGGCACAATCTCAGCTCACTGCAACCTCCACCTCCCAGGTTCACATGATTCCCCCACCTCAGCCTCGTCAGTAGCTGGGACTACGGGCACTTGCCACCGTGCCCGGATAATTTTTTGTTTTTTAGTAGAGACTGGGTTTTACCGTGTTGGCCAGGATGGTCTCGATCTGCAGACCTTGTGCTCTGCCCACCTCGGCCTCCCAAAGTGCTGGGATTATAAGCATGAGCCACCGAGCTAAGAGCAATGTTTTCTGTTTTGTTTTTTTGTTTGTTTGTTTTTTTGTTTTTTTGTTTTGAGACGGAGTTTCGCTCTTGTTACCCAGGCTGGAGTGCAATGGCGCAATCTCGGCTCACCGCAACCTCCGCCTTCTGGGTTCAGGCAATTCTGCTGCCTCTGCTGGGATTACAGGCACGCGCCACCATGCCCAGCTAATTTTTTTTTTTTTTTTTTTTTTTGTATTTTTAGTAGAGACGGGGTTTCACCATGTTGACCAGGATGGCCTCGATCTCTTGACCTTGTGATCCACCCGTCTCAGCCTCCCAAAGTGCTGGGATTATAGGCGTGAGCCACCGCACCCGGCGAGGATACCATATTCTTTAACACACAGTGTGTTTCAGAAGAATGAGAAAATACACGAATCAGAGTATGGAGACCAGAGTGGCCGTAGAGACGCCCACCCAGGTGGCACTGAAGGAATTAAGAAGCAGACATCCAGACAGAACAGCAAAGTGGGACTGTCCGGGGGCCAACAGCCTCTCCAGCTGAAAGCCTCAGAGAGCTGACAGCTTTCCATTGTGAGGGCCTGGAGCAGATTCCGACCCACGGAGTTATTCTCTCTGAACAGGTGATTTTTATTAACAAACAGGTGGTCTGTGTTTTCTCATAGAACCAAGAGAAACCAGGGAGGCAGCTGGTGCCTGTATTTTCCACGAGGGAGCCACGAGGGAGCCACGGGGGCGCCACGGGGGCAGGGTCAGGTATCGCATACTTCAAGAATTGTTTTAATCGGTGTATGATATACATATACTGTTTTGCTACTTTAGAATGCCCCAAGCAGTTTTCCACTTGGTGGGGGTGGCAGCCAGGTTTTCCTTGCCATGGTTCTCAGCAAACAATGTAATGTATCATACACTTTAGGACTTGTCCCTATATCAGAGAACTGCAATTACCTACTTGCTGGTCTATTTCCTCATTAGAGTGAATTTTTTGAGGACTAAATTGCGTTTCTGATCTCTAATGGTTACCCTCTAGCTCACTGGCTCTGTGTGTTTGAGTGCAGGTGCTGAATGCTTAATTATATCACTTATTTTCTGTTAGAAACAGGCTGTCTGTCAGCACCAGAACAGCACAGGCAGATCTGGCCTTAGAGCTAAGGAAAGGTCCCAGGTATCTCCCAGGCTGGGTACACGCAGGTTCAACATTACCAAACATTAGGGAATCCCACACAGCTCAGTACACCCAGGTGTGAGCAACATTGCCAAATTATACCTATAAGGCGTTGGGAGGAGACTCCAAAAGCCGAGAGGCCGGGCTAATGTAGCTCGTTTCACAACGGGACCGATCGTGGTCGGACTTGTTCCTAGGAGGATGCGGAGGCTGGCACTTTCTTCAAGAACAGATTGCAAAAAGCGGCCACCTCCGCGTGGCAGGTCACGGCCAGGAAAGGCAGACGCTGAAACCGTCGCCTCCGGCTTAGGCCGCACAGCGGGAACCCGATTTTTTGAGTACTTAGTGCGGGTAAGGGTGGCGCGCGGTGCTATTTCTAGCTGATAAATGGTGCCCCCAGGACATTTCTGTTGTGACTGCAGGCGTGGCCTGTCCCCCCGCCCGGCTTCGGGGAAGGGGTGGGGATAGGAGGCTTGCCCCGGGGAAGGTCACGCTCCGGGTCCCCGGGCCGGGCCTCCGCGCGCCCCCGCCCCGCCGCCTCCCGGGAGCGGCCGCTGTGCCCGCCGGCTGCCGACTGGCAGACGCCCGAGGTCCCCGCGCCGGCAGTCCGGCAGCCCGGCAGCACGCGGGGAGGAGGTCGCCGCCGGCCCGGGCGTGGCAGAAGCGCTTCCTGTGCCAAGTTTCCGGCTCCGGGTCCCCGGAGGAGGATCGCGGGCCAGAGGCGGAGCTGCCGCCCTGCCGCGACTTTCAGACTCCGACTATGGCCTCGCGCTGGTGGCGGTGGCGGCGGGGCTGCTCCTGGAGGCCTGCGGCTCGGAGTCCAGAGCCCGGCTCCCCCGGCCTTGCGGGGCCGCCGGGGCCGCGCGCCGCCGCCGCCGCCGCCGCCGCCCGCTGTCAGGTGAGGTCGTGAGGCGCGTGCCTGGCTGGGCGCAGAGGTCAAGGCGGCAATGACAGCGGCGGGCGGAATGAATGGGAGCGGGGAGCGCGTGCGCCGGGGCTCCGGGACGCCGGGGGTCTCTCCGGGGTGGGACTCCGGAGCGGAGGGGTGTCCGCGGTGGGACGGAGCCGCGCACTGGACTGAAGGATCTCGGTGGGGTGAAAGCGGTGTCCTGGAGACCCCGGCAGCGTTTGGGGTGGAGGAGAAAGCTATGGGGAGTCGGGTGCTGGGGAAAGCGCAGGAGCTATCTTACTATCCACAGCGGTATGAACAAGATTAAGCCTGCAGAGCGACTGCAGCTACTTCCTTGTTTTAAAGGCAAAGGTGCTGAGAGGTCTCTCCGAGATAAGGAGTATAGAATCGGCCTCGGAATAGTCCGAAACGGTCTTGTGAAGAATGCAAGGCTGGTGCTAGGGTGAAGCGGACCTTAGCTGTCCAGCAGTGGCTTGGGGAGGAGAGCACAGCTGGATGGGGCTAGAAGGGCACTGGAAGGGAGGAGAGAAGCCCTGGAGTCACCGAATGTCAAAATCTCAGCAATAGCTGATTGTTTCAGCGTCTCCTCTGCTGCCTTGAGTTCCAATCTCTTTTCTCTCCCTTTCAGTTCAGTTTAGGCCCTGTAAATGGACACTGAGCCCTTCCGCACTTTTGATTCTCGGTGTGCCATGGGGTAGGCCCATGCTATTAGCATAACCATGCAAAATCTATGGACTCACTGTTGTTTGACTTTAGTACTCTTTTAGATTTGGCACATTTTATATGTCCTTGTTCTCATCAAACATCGTTTTCAGTATGAAATATGTAACACTTAAAAATACCTGCTTCATACCAAAGTGGGTGCATATCACAAATTTTCCAAAACCAGGTGTTTGGGCCAGGTACAGTGGCTCACACCTGTAACTCCAGCACTTTGGGAGGCTGAGGTGGGAGCACTGGTTGAGGCCAGGAGTTTGGGACCAGCCTGAGCAACATAGCAAGGCTGTCTCTACAAAAAAATAGAAAAAATTAGCCAGGTGTGGTGGTGTGTGCCTTCAGTACTAGCTGCTCAGGAGCCTGACGCAGGCAGGACGATTGTTTGATCCTAGAAGTTCAAGATTACAGTGAGCTGTTTATTATGATAGTGCCAATGCACTCCAGCCTGGGCAACAGTGTGAGACCCTATCTCTAAAAATTCAAAAGCAAAAAAAGACATTTGGAGACTGAATGGCAGCGGAGCAACTAGACACACTAGACAGTAAAGAAAGAATAGGATATGGGGGATGAGGGAAATGTGGGAAAAGAGACTTAGAGGAAGGTAGGCTTTGCTGGGATCCATTTCAGTACTGATCTCTCAGACTTCAGGTATTTCTAGTTCCACAGATGAGGCCAGTATTTGCATCCACCCTCTTATGCCAATAGATACCTTTTATTTTTTTCATTTATTTTTTTCTGGACACAGGGTCTCTGTCTCCCAGGCTGGAGTGCAATGGCAGGATCTCGGCTCACTGCAACCTCCACCTCCCAGGTTCAGTGGAGTGATTCTCCTGCCCCAGACTGGCAAGTAGCTGGAATTACAGGCATGCACCACCACGCCCAGCTAATATTTGTATGTTTAGTAGAGACGGGGTTTCACCACGTTGTCCAGGCTGGTCTCGAACTCCTGACCTCAAGTGATCAGCCTGCACCCCCAGCCTCCCAAAGTGCTGGGAGTACAGGCATGAGCCACCACACCTAGCCTGACACTTCTTTTTAAAAGAATTTCATGCCCACCAAGCAATCTTAGCTGGGGAAAGTGCTTTCTTGGAGAGAATATGCTTTATGGCTTTCCTGTCTGCCTGAATGACCACAAGGAGGAATTGTGTCGATCAATGATGCGAAGACCATGTATTTCTGATTTGTGTGTCAGTGATGCTTTTCACTATATTTTAATACATTAGCATGCTGGTGTCTGTCTCGAGTATGTGTGTTTTGGTTACTTCAAGTCTCTCAGGGCCTAATAGTCCTTGGGGAGACAGAACTATAGTAACTAAGCCACAGGGACAAAGAGCAATATTTAAGCCACATCTCGCTCTCCACCAGAGCTCTATTACCTCCTGATGGTTGCACATTCTCCCGACTTCACTAGTGTGAACAAATATTGTAATAGGTTAAAAACCAGTGTGCATGTGATCATGTCAAATCATTTCTCAGTATATCTTTGATTTTTAAAAAATGTTTTAAAGACAGGGACTCTCTGTGTTGGCCAGGTTGGTCTTGAACTCCTGGACTCAAGCAGTCCTCCCCCACTTAAGTATTGGCACCTGGCCATGTCTTTGATTCTTACCCAGCACTTTATCTAACTGAGCATGGTGGCTCAGGCCTGTAATCCCAACACTTTGGAAGGTGGAGGCAGGAGGATCACTTCTGTTCAGAGGATTGCTTCTTTTCTAGACCAGACTGGGCAGTGACATGTCCTGATATGGTGTGTGTCTGTGTCCCCACCCAAATCTATCTCGAATTGTAATCCCCAATTGCAAGTGGGGACCAGAGAGGGTCAAGGGAGGGAGCAAATAGAGGTAATTGGATCATGGGGGTGGATTCCCTCATGCTGTTCTCATCACAGGGAGTGAGTTCTCAGGAGAACTGATGGTTTTATAAGTGTTTGGTAGTTCCTCCTGTGTTCACTCTCTCTCCTGCTGCCTTGTGAAGAGGTGCTTTCTTCTCCTTCCACCATGATTGTAAGTGTTTGAGGCCTCCCCAGCCGTTTGGAACAGTGAGTCAATTAAACCTCTCTCCTATAAGACTTTGGGTTTGGACTTTTGAGTTAAAGCTAGAATGAGCTAAGACTTTGGTGGACTGTTGGGAAGGCATAATTGATTTTGAAAAGTGAGCACATGAGATGTGGGAGGGGCAGAGTTCCCCAGGCTGTTCTTGCAATAGTGAATTATACAAGATCTGATGGTTTTATAAGTGATTGGTAGTTCCTCCTGTATTCATTCTCCTTCCTACTGCCTTGTGAAGACGGTGCCTTGCTGTTCCCTTTCTCTTCTGCCATGATTGTAAGTTTCCTGAGGCCTCCCCAGCCACTGAGAACTGAGTTAAGTACACCTCTTTCTTTTATAAATTACCTAGTCTTAGGTTTTTCTTTATAGCAATTTGAGAATGGACTAATAGACTTCATCTCTACTAAAAATTTTAAAAATTAGCTAGGTGTGGTTGCATGTTTCTGTAGTCCCAGCTACTCAGGAAGCTGAGGCAGGAGGATAGCTTGAGCCCAGGAGATTGAGGCTGCAGTGAGCTATCACACCACTGTACTCCAGCCTGGAAAAATAATAGTAAATTCATGAGAGGCAAGGTTGACTTTCAGAGGGTGTATGAGGGAAAGGTAGGGAACAAAATCAGAATTAGAAAATAACTGTTGCCCCTCTTTTCGTACTTCACTGCTTTCCTGAGCACCTCTAACCTCATTTTGGAAAACCGTTCTAACGTACTTTTAAAGCAGAAAATAGTAGCTTGATTGAATAGATACTGTATTAAATGTATTCTGTGTACTAGGCTCTGAGCTAAGAGCTTTACATATGCTTTCTAAATTAATATCCACCTTACTCCATAAGTAGATATTATCAGAAAGATGTCACAAGGTAACACAAAAGTTGAGATTTGAACTGAGATCTGTCTTCCAAAGTTCATGCTACTGAAAATCATTCGTCTACTTGGTGGTAAAAAGCCCCCTTGTATTAATTACCTATGTAATTTATCCTTCAGCCCAGGTTAGAGGTCTGTAACTGAATAAAAAGTTATTAAAACTATTCAGTTAGAATAGGTCAGTTAGTTATAACTAATCATAGTTATTTGGCCAAGCACAGTGACTCACACCTGTAATTCCAGCACTTGGGGAGACTGTGGCAGGAGGATCGATCACTTTTGCTCAGGATTTCTAATAATAATATCTATAACTAGAGACCTAATAATAATTATTAGTTCTCTTACTGAAGAACTTTTACTTTTCCATTAAGATGCCCTTATTTATAAGTATCATAATAAAATACTGAATTTATATGAACTTCTAAAAGATTAGGAAAGTTTTTTTTTTGTTGTTTTTGTTTTTTGAGCCAGAGTCTCACTCTGTTACCCAGGCTGGAATGCAATGGCGCAATTTTGGCTCACTGCAACCTCTGCTTCCCGGGTTGAAGCAATTCCCTGCCTCAGCCTCCCAAGTAGCAGGGATTACAGGCACCCACCACCATGCCTGGCTAATTTTTGTATTTTTATTAGAGACGGGGTTTCACCATGTTGGCCAGGCTGGTCTTGAATTCCTGACCTCGGGATCTACCCACCTCAGCCTCCCAAAGTGCTAGGATTACACCTCGCCTGGCCTCAAAATAACTACTTTTTTTGTTTTTCTTGAGACGGAGTCTCACTCTAGCCCAGGCTGGAGTGCAGTGGTGCAATCTCAATTCACTGCAGCTTCCACCTCCCTAGTCCTGATTCAAGCAATTCTCCTGCCTCAGCCTCCCGAGTAGCTGGGATTACAGGTGCATGCCACCATGCCCAGCTAATTTTTGTATTTTTAGTTGAGACAGGGATTTCACCAATTGGCCAGGCTGGGCTTGAACTCGTGACCTCATAATCCACCCACCTCAGCCTCCCAAAGTGCTGGGATTACAGGCGTGAGCCACTGCACCTGGCCAAATAACTACTTTTAACCCCCTGGTTTATGTGCTGTCAAACTGTTCTCCCATGTGTAATATCAAAATGTCTTGAGGTGGGTTGGTTTTCTTGACAATATTTATCCAAAAGTGTCATTTCCAAAGTATGTTGAGTAACAAGAACTTAAAATAGTATTTGTATAAATATAAATTCTTTCTTTGCTATTGAAATCTTTTTCCTATGACCAATCTTAGTTAAATGGAAGGAAATTGCTTTAAAACTACTTTTCAGGTCTGGAAAGAGAGATATGAATATGGAAACTGGCTTGCTTTTGGGGGAAAGGATGGACTGTAGATGGTTTTTATTTTCTGTTTTTTTCTTATGTTTTCTGCAATGACAAGTATTTTGTAATAACAAAAGAAAACTTTTTAAATTCTTTTTCTAAAGTTTGCAGTCTACCTATAAATGGGTGATTAGAAGATAAAGATTATAATTATGGGGGTTTTATCGTCCAATGTTACAGTTTTTCAGGAATATTCTTACAAGTTTCTTGACATTTTTATTTTAGATACCCTATTTTAATCTTGTGAAGCATTTGACATCTGCCTGTCCAAATGTATATAGCATATCACGGTAAGTTTACAATCCATTCTGCAACTACTAAAATTATTCATTTTTAAATTTGTTATTTTAAAACCTTTTTTTTGTAGAGACAGGGAGCTTACTATGTTTCCCAGGCTGCTCTTGAACTCCAAGCCTCAAGCGATCCTCCCACACTCAGCTTCCCAAAGTGCAGGGATTGCAAACATAAGCACCCAGCCTAAAATTATTAATTACAGTGCCCGTAAATTTCTAAATTGTAGCAGGCTAGGCCAACAAATTTAGTATGTTGTTTGAATGCCGTAATATTTGCTCTGTGTGATCTGCCTAGTCTAAAATCAGGAATATATAAAGTTTGAACTCAACCCAGAACACAATGAACATAGTTTAATTTATCTTTGATTTTGTGGGTTCTCAAGGTCCTGTTGGTAAAAATGATCTATAGGTCTGTCATTTAGCAAGAATAGAATTTTGTACGTTTCTCCAAATTATAATGACCTTTTCAGATTCATAATTTTTTATTTTTAAAAATTTATTTCATCTGGTAGACAAAGGTAAATGATTGATTTCTAACAAGTATTTGGGCTGAATTTTCTATCCTCTGAATCTACTAAATATGTATTTATATAAAATGAAAATTTTCATTACTTGAAAATGAAGTCATGTGCATTTTTGCATGTCCCAGGTTTCATCACACAACCCCAGACAGTAAAACACGCAGTGGTGAGAAATATACTGATCCTTTCAAACTCGGTTGGAGAGACTTGAAAGGTCTGTATGAGGACATTAGAAAGGTGAGTTTTTTTATTCTGCTGTCATATAATGTTCTACTAGAACTTACTAAAATTTTATTTATTATTATTTGGAGATGGAGTCTCACTCTTGCCCAGGCTTGACTGCACTGGTGCAATCTAAGCTCACTGCAACCCTCACCTCCCAGGTTCATGCAGTTCTCCTGCCTCAGCCTCCTGAGTAGCTGAGATGATAGGCATGTGCCATCATGCCTGGCTAATTTTTGTATTTTTAGTCAAGATGCGATTTCGCTGTGTTGGCCAGGCTGGTCAGGAACACCTGACCTCATGTGACCCACCGGTCTTGGCCTCCCAAAGTGCTGGGATTATGAAAAACCAATGCAGGTGTTCAGAGCTATACAATGCAGTTTGCAGTTTGGGCTCATGTATGGTCAAGTTTTAAATGTTTCTTGAGCAAGAACCACATGTGACCCAGTTAGGCAATATGAAAAATTCAGTATGTGCTAACGTTCAGTAAGAGGTTATGGCAGGGTTGGGAACCTGAAAAAAAAAAATGGTCCAGGTAGCTCATGCTTGTTCAATGAGTTATCCCACCTTTCCTCTTAAAACCCACCAGCTCCCAGTGACTCCAGCTGTCTCTTCCTTATCTAATTCTGAATGTCGTTGCCAGACAGCCCTAAATTTTTCATTCAACTCTTTTTCCTGAAAACTTGCACTAGTTCCTCACGTGGTTGGACACGGTGGCTCATGCCTGTAATCCCACCAATTTAGGAGGCCAAAGCAGGAGGATTGCTTAAGTCCAGGAGTTTGAGGCTGCAGTGAGCTATGATCCTGTCACTGCACTCCAGCCTGAGTGATGGAGCAAGACATTTTTTCTGTCTTTAGAAAAGAATTGGCTGGGTGCGGTGGCTCATGCCTATAATCCTAGCACTTTGGGAGGCTCAGGCAGCTGGGTCACTGGAGGTCAGGAGTTCAAGATCAGCCTAGCCAACATGATCAAACTCCGTCTCTACTAAAAATACAAAAATTAGCTAGGCATCGTGGCATGCGCCTGTAATCCCAACTACTCAGGAGGCTAAGGTAGGAGAATTGCTTGAACCCAGGAGGCGGAGGTTGCATTGAGCCGAGATCTTGCCACTGCATTCCAGCCTGGGTGACAGAGTGAGACTATACCTAAAAATAAATAAATAAAATAAAATGCTGCCCAGAAATGTCCATGTGCCCCTTTACAAGTCCCCACTTTCCTCCTTTCATCCTCAAGCCCACCGCACACTAGCTCTCATATTCCGATGGCAACACCAGTTCCTGTTTCACAGACAGTAGGGACCATGAAGAAAAAAACTCCTTCAGCTCCTACTCTGTCACAATTGACCAGCTTGCCTGCGTCTTCTCTGGTGATTGATTGCCTGCTCTCCTCCCACTCACAGAATTCATGTCCCTTCCCTTTCTAGGGGTAGTCCCTTAGACACCTCCCAGCTCCTTAGGAACTCCCCCAGACGTTGCCTCTCCCTGTCTGCAAACTTCCATTGGCATTGTTTCTTTCATATCCATTGGGTGTTCAGTTTCTTCACCTGCATTATTAAAAGGCCCATATCCCCTGACCCAGTGCTTCACTCTTTCCCTTCCATTACAGTATCCCCTGCCCTCTGCCTCTCTCCGGAGCTGTCACGTTCCCTCCACTATTGCACTGGGGCCCCCTGTCCAGCCTCGTCTCCGAAGCTGGTTTTGCTCGAGTCACTGATAGCTTCCCTGTACCAAATCCTATGGATTTACCAGCAGCAAATCCATGCAGGTCTGCTGCAACCTCACTTCTTACCTCCTCAGAAGAAAGAATTCGACTGAGGAGCATTAAGGCAGGCGAGACAGAGGCAAAGTTTAAAAGCAGGAGTGAAAGTTTACTAAAAAATTGAGAGCAGGAAGGAAAGGAAGTAAAGTACACTTGGAAGAGGGCCAAGCCGGTGACCTGAGAGATCAGGTGTGTGGTGTGGCCTTGGAACTTGGGATTTTACCTGCGGGCATGCTTCCAGGAACTCGAATCCCTTCTCCCTTGTCTTCCCTTGGGCTGCCCGCATGCACAGTGGCCGGCCAGTGTGGGAGCGGAGCATGCGCACTGTGCTTACTGGAGTTCTGCGCATGCTCACTTGAGGCATTCTTCCCGTACGTACCAGTCCCAACGTTCCTAAACGGACATATACGAGTTAAACGCCGCCATTATGCCTCTTAGCGCATGCTCCAGCCCACTCGCCCGCCTCCTGAAATCTTACTGGGAAGCTGATCACCAGTTTCCAGTTTTTCTGTCTGTTATGAGACTGCCTTCCCTTAGCACTAGCTGCGACCAATTAGTATTTTGGAGACACGGTTAACAACTGCCTGACCATCACCTGATGGTCGCCTGACATTCCTGGTGTGGGTGGGGGAGCCCTCTCCTGTCCTGCTCGTGCCTGACTAGCTACCTACTGTGAACAGACACTTGCGGGTTTTCTCAGCATTGGACACTATTAACTAGACTGGATAGGGAAAATGTGGTACATATACACCATGGAATATTATGCAGCCATCAAAAACGATGAGTTCACGTCCTTTATAGGGACATGGATGAACCTGGAAACCATCATTCTCAGCAAACTGACACAAGAGCAGAAAATCAAACACCGTATATTCTCGCTCATAGGCGGGTGTTGAACAATGAGAACACATGGACACAGGGAGGGGAGCACTACACACTGGGGTCTGTTGGGGGTAAATGGGGGAGGGGCGGGGGGTGGGGAGGTGGGAAGAGATAGCATGGGGAGAAATGACAGATACAGGTGAGGGGACGGAAGGCAGCAAAGCACACTGCCATGTGTGTACCTATGCAACAATCTTGCATGTTCATCACATGTACCCCAAAACCTAAAATGCAATAAAAAAAAGAAAAAAAAAAAAAAAAACTGTAACCCCTCCTTGAAACGTGGTTCCCTTCGCTCTCCACTTTTTTGCCACCTCATCCTGAGGCTGTTCTTTGGTTCATCACCTCCACCTTACTTCCTTTAATTTTGCCATTTCCTGGGGTTCCCTTGGCCCCCTGCTGCCTCTCTGTTCCTTGTATACCCGTGTCCATACTTAGGTCTCCCAAATAATACCACTACTCCAGGTTGAGCTGCGTCTTCCACACCCATGTAGCTGACTGCTGACCGGGAGCGCCATGGGTAGCCATGACAGTCTCAGACTTAGCTGAGACTTTACTTTTCCCACACGGGTTGTTTCTTTCTGCTGTTTACCTGTTCTTTGGGGAACCTGGGAAGAGCCCAGGACCCTCTACTCCCCTCCATATCCTTCTAGTCTGCCTCTTTTGAGTCCCCACTGCCCCAGGCCAGGCACTTCCATGCCCCTAGTCCTTTCATTTGTGCTCTTCTCCTCCCTGGCTCAGCTTCCGAGGTGACGGCTTACCTGGGTGATAGCACCACACCTATCACACTGTGTTGTGTCAATGGCAATATTCGTTTTACTTTTCCCCATCTAGACCCTGAGCTCCTTGTGGGCAAGACTTGTCTTACTTATCTTTGTGACCTCTGTGCTGTTAACAGTGAGTCGGTAATTTACTGAATTAATGATGGGCCCACTGTGTTGTATTCGCCTATGCCGGGCTGAGGGTTCATTGGCTCCCACAGCATCCAGGGGATAAACTCCAAGTTAGTCAAACCTGTCCAACACTGGCACATACCCCAGAGTGACAGATACGAGTGACGCACACCTGTCAACTGGAAGGGTCTCACCGTCTCTCTGAATCAGAACACTGTTTAGGCTTCTGATCCCGCATCAAAGCCCATCTCCTCCATGAAATACTTGGTTTTTCTAGCCTGCACTGACCTCTTCCTTCTTTGAACTTTTAATATATTTAATGTACGGCATTACATTAATTGTACAGCATTGTTTACACTGCCACTGTATTCATCATTGATTATTTCATATTTGCAAAATTTTTGCCTCCCCATTTGAGTTGCAGGCTCCCATACTCAAGCAGGCTATGCCTTACACCTCATCTGTGAACCCTCAAAATGTCTCTTGCCAGATAAAGGCCAAGCCAGATGAACTGGGTCCTGCTTCTTCTCCTTGGCTGTGATCTTACTGTCCTTCTGCCTCTCATGAACAGCTTTTCCTTCAGGAGTTTGAGGCTACAGTGAGTTATGATCGTGCCACTGCCCTGAAGCCTGGGTGACAGCAAGACCCTGCCTCTAAAAAAAATTTTAAAAAATCAAAAAAAAGACTTTGCCACCCAACCCAGGACACCCCTCTAAAACCCTCCCCACCAACGCCGACCTGCTTCACGGGCTTTGATGGCTACTGGCTCGATTTTCCCCATCTTTCTCCTCCCACTTCTGTCTTTCAAAGCTATGAACCAGCCCCTTTTCCTTTTGCTGTCCAGCTGTCAGCCCAGAGTCCCTTAGCTACCTAGTGCTTTCTTCCCCCTTCTGCTGTCTCTTGGAGTCATCTGGTGTCTGATCCTGTCAGAGGGGGCGGGTTGCAGTACCTGCTCTAGCACTCAGCCCACTTTGGGCTGATCCAGGCATTGTTCACGTTCCAGCCTGCAGAACAGCCAGGTGGATGGCCATGCAGCATTGGAGCCTTGCCAACAAAGTGTTGAATTTCTCAATTGAAATGAACACACTTAAAAAGTTTTATAGAACAAATCCTGGCCGGGTGTGGTGGCTCACGTCTGCGATCCCAATAGTTTGGGAGGCCAAGGCAGGTGGATCACTTGAGGTCAAGAGTTTGAGACCAGCCTGACCAACATGGTGAAACCCCACCTCTACTAAAAATACAAAAAATTAGCCAGGGTTGGTGGCAGGCGCCTGTAATCCCAGCTACTTGGGAAGCTGAGGCAGAAGAATCGCTTGAACCTGGGAGCTGGAGGTTGCAGTGAGCTGAGATTATACCACTGCGCTCCAGTCTGGGCAACGTGAGCAAAACTGTCTCTCAAAAAAAAAAAAAAAATCCTGTTGATTTTCTGTGCGGTTTTGATGCCATTGTGACACAGAGAAACTTTATTTCAGGAACTGCTCATATCAACATCAGAACTTAAGGAAATGTCTGAGTACTACTTTGATGGAAAAGGGAAAGCCTTTCGACCAATTATTGTGGCACTAATGGCCCGAGCATGCAATATTCATCATAACAACTCCCGGTGAGCTCTTGTTTTTATTCCTTTGTTGTTTTTATATTTGGGAAGTCTTTCTTCCCAAGGTTACTGTTTTGTTTCCCGTTTAAGAAGTATCATATACTGGCCAGGCGTAGTGGCTCATGCCTGTAATTCCAGCAGTTTGAGAGGCTGAGGTAGGCAGATCACAAGGTCAGGAGTTCAAGACCAGCCTGGCCAATATGGTGGCGGGCACCTGTAGTAGTCCCAGCTACTCAGGAGGCTGAAGCAGAAGTATTGTTGCAGTGAGCAGAGATCGTGCCATTGTACTCTAGCTTGGATGACAGAACAAGACTCTGTCTTAAAAAAAGTAGCATATATACTTAAAAATTAACTTTGCGATGTGTACATTCTGACTTTAAGTTGCTAAAGTCACTCTGGAATCTAGCATCTTTCTTTTACAGACCTCTTAATGTCCGTTGAAGAAAAACTTCAGCTGCAAATTAACATTTAAGAAAAAATTTCAGAACCAAATTTGGTTTTCTTGTTAGGAAACCAAACAAGAAATACCAGGATGGGTGGATACATTTAATCATCATACACAGGGAGCAAAGGTTGATTGTTCTAAAGTGATAAAGTGGACCATTATTCTGGGCGACAAACACTTGCTGGGGTGCCTGCCTGCCTTCTGTGACCCTCTGAATTGTGCAGAAGCGAAATCGTCTTTAAAGGAGACATTTTGAGGCTGGACATGGTGTCTTACGCCTATAATCCCAGCACTTTGGGAGGCCACAGCAGGAGGATTGCTTGAACCTAGGAGTTTAAGACCAACCTAAGCATCACAGCAAGACCCTGTCTCTACGAAAAATTTAAAATTAGCCAGGCATGGTTGCATATGCCTATAGTCTCAGCTATTCGGGAGGCTGAGGCAGGAAGATTTCTTGGGTGCAGGAGTTGGAGGCTGCAGTGAGCCATGATTGCACCACTACAATCCAGCCTGGGTGACAGAGTGAGACCTTGTCTCCAAAAAAGACCTTTTTTTTTTTTGCTATTGGTCTTCAACTCTTATGTATTGAATATATATATATATATATATATATATATATATATATATATGGTATAAATATTTTAAAACCTGCGATGTTTTAATGTAAAGGAAATCTTAAAAGGTAAAAGGCTTTCCCTAGTACCTTACATCGTGATCGCCTCATTCTCTCTTCCCATCAATTCTGTATTTGGTCATTCAATATATTAACATGTAATTTTGTGTTTAGGTTTGTTTGCTTACCTTTGTTTTTTAAACTCTTTCCCATGTCGCTGAAATGTCTTTATAATTGGGCCAGGCACAGTGGCGCATACCTGTAATCCCAACACTTTGGGAAGCCAAGGCAGGCAGATCACTTGAGGTCAGGAGTTTAAGACCAGCCTGGCCAACATGGTGAAACCTCAACTCTTTAAAAAATACAAATGTTAGCTGGGCGTGATGGTGCGTGCCTGTAATCCCAGCTACTCGGGAGGCCGAGGCAGAAGAATCACTTGAAACTGGGAGGCAGAGGTTGTGGTGAGCCGAGATTGCACCACTGAACTCACCCTGGGCGAGAGTGAGACTCAAAAATTATAAAAGTTGATTCCTTCCCAGATAGAATCAGCCTCATCCTGGCAGGGAGGGTGCTGAAGAAGGTGCACATACCAGTCACAAGGTCTGCAACCCTCTTGCTCTCACTGATGTTCTTATGCTTGACCTTGAACTCATGCATGCAATGACCATCTGCTCATCAAAATCTCCACCTTAGTGGGTGTCCCTTACTGTAGACGTTACTTCAAAGATCCATTTTCATAGTGCTTATGGACATATCCAAAGTGCCACCTGCTGGGTGAAAGACAAAAAAAAAAAACATTTCCTTTGGTGGCAACCCTCTTGCCTACCCCACAAACAGCAGCAGCAGTGACTGGCTGAGTGACTCGGAACACACAGGAAGCAGGAATGGTTCTAGAGTCGTTAGTGGCCTGACCTTGGGAATGACTTCAGCCAGTCGGGGCTAAATGGCTGCTTTGTTACAGTCTTTCCAGGGATAGGCTTCGGTAATCTTAGCGTTTATAGCGCTATAAAAGTTACCTCCTCCGAATATAGGATTATCACACCTGGACTCTCAACCTGTTATCCAATGTGGAAGCTGTGTCTTAAAATTTGACCCTCTAAACATTTAGTCCAGCTTTGAAAACTGGACTCATGTAATTCAATGCCATTGACTATTTGCAGAATCAAGATCAACAGATCTGTGCACAGCACAACTTGGGTCGTCTGTTATCCTGATTGCTGGCAATGATATTCACTTCCTAGAGCTAGAAGAGTTTCACAGAGGAATGGACGGTGTGAAAATCCAGGAGCCAATGATAGGTCAGTCTCTTCAGTGAGACTGCTGAGCAGGCCAGGTTCGGCTTGTCTGAGAAACGTGCAGACACCATAACCGGGCTGCATTCAATGAGTGAAGCAATTTTATAGAAATCTATTTATCATAAAGCTCTTTTTTTTGTTTTTGAGACAGTCTTGCTCTGTCTTGCCCTGTCTCGCCCAGGCTGGAGTGCTGTGGTGCGATCTCAGCTCATTGCAGCCTTCACCTCCTGCGTTCAAGTGATTCTCCTGCCTCAGCCTCCTAAGTAGCTGGAATTATCAGCCTACATCCAGGGACTCATAGATGAAGGGCATTCTACCCTTGTACCCTAGAGGGTGTTTTAGGCTGTTGATTGCAGCTCAGTTCAATTAGCCAGGCGTGTGTCATCATGAATGGCTAATATTTTATTTTTAATAGAGATGGGAATTTGCCATGTTGGCCAGGCTGGTCTGAACTCCTGACCTCAGGTGATCCACCTGCCTCAGGCTCCCAGAGTGCTGGGATTACAGGCGTGAGCCCCTGTGCCCAACCCTTAAAGCCCTTTTTTGATCTGGATTCTGTAATAGAATAACTTTGGGTTTTGCTGAACTCTGTTGCAAGTTAGGTTCTCCAGGAAGCAGATTCTGAGATGAAGTTTCAAGGACAGGGTGTTTATTCAGGAGTGCCCTTGGGATTACTGACACCTGAGGGGGCAGGGGAGGAAACAGAACTGGGGAGGAGAAGCTGAGCTGCAATCAACAGCCTGAAATGCCCCCTAGGGTGAGCAGGTAGAATGGCCCTTCATCTGTCAGTCCCTGGATGTGGGTGGCCTTCAGAAGGGGCACAGCCCCAGGTGAGAGGATTCTTTGTAGCCAAGGCAATCCTTGAAGAGGCTGAGGAATGAAGGCCAGCAGGTACCAACCATACCTGGTGCAGCAGCTGGGCAGAGTCTTGCACTGTCAAGGGATCTGGGGCGCATGTCTCAGAATCCAGCACAACTCTATTTTCTGGACATGTCAAGTCTGAGTCATCTGTTGTGTGGGCTCAGTCTCAAAAAAAAAAATTTTTTTTTTAATAAAATGTCTTCATAATCATATCATATAATCTATTGATGGAAATTCCAGTAGACCATGATGTACTAATACATTTCCCTAGTGTTGAACAACATATTGCCCCTTCTCAGTAGATATTTAAGGAATGCCTAAGATTTTTCAGTAATGAAATTAATGAAGCTGTAAGAGCGAGTGTCAGATACTGCTTCTTAGTGGGTGCTCACCTCTGCCTACGGCTTTCTCTGCTCTGCTGCTGGCCCCACCTTGTCCAGCACATCATGCCATGCTCAGGGCTGGCTGCCACTTTAGCTGGGCCTTTCAAAGAGCTCACAGTATATTTGTAGCAAGCAGTGAAATCTCTGGCAGTGACCTTTAACCATCATCAGAACCACTCTGACTTCACTGGAAGGCAGAGCAGCAACAATGCTCCCTCTGAGCCAAACCTGAAGTCACATCTCCTGCAGTCTGGAGCAGAGATCTCGGCCTCGGCACTGTTGACATTTTGGGCCACACTGTTCTTCATTGGGGGTCAATGGGGTCCCATGGGGTCTGCCATATGCATTATAGGATGTTTAGCAGTATTGCTGACTCTACCCACTAGATGCCTCTGAGTTGGTAACAATCAAAAATGCCTCCAGACACTGCCAAGTAAATGTCCCATGGTCCCACACGGTGCAGAATCACCCCTGGTTGAGAATCACTGGTCTAGAGAGTTTATATTTTTAATTTCTCTCTTAATACATAATAGAGTTAATTGGCCTCAGAAATAAATGTGGAAAGGAAAACACTTTTTGAGTGCTTTATCACTCACTATCCCCATAATTAGAAGTTTTTTCTTTGTTTTTTTTTTTTTTCTTTTTAAGATATATTTTATTGCATTTTAGGTTCTGAGGTACATGTAAAGAACATGCAGGATTGTTGCATAGGTACATACATGGCAATGTGGTTTGCTGCCTCCATCCCCATCACCTATATCTGGCATTTCTCCCCATGTTTTCCGTCCCCAACTCCCCACCCCCCACTGTCCCTCTCCTAGTCCTCCCCAACAGACCTCAGGGTGTGATGCTCTCCTCCTTGTGTCCATGTGTTCTCATTGTTCAACACCCGCCTATGAGTGAAAACATGCAGTGTTTGATTTCCTGTTGTTGTGTCAGTTTGCTGAGAATGATGGTTTCCAGGTTTGTCCATGTCCCTACAAAGGACACAAACTGATTGTTTTTTATGGCTGCATAGTATTCCATGGTATATATGTGCCACATTTTCCCTGTCCAGTCTACGATGGGTCAGTTCCAAATCTTTGCTATTGTAAATAGTGCTGCAATGAACATATATGTGCATGTGTCCTTATAATAGAACAATTTATAATCCTTTGGATATATACCCAGTAATGGGATTGCTAGGTCAAATAGAATTTCGATTTCTAGGTACTTGAGGAATCGCCACACTGTCTTCCACAATGGTTGAACTAATTTATATTCCCACCAACTGTGTAAAAGTGTTCCTAGTTCTCCACATCGTCTCCAGCATCTGTTGTCTCCAGATTTTTTAATGATCACCATTCTATCTGGCATGAGATGATATCTCAATGTAGTTTTGATTTGCCTTTCTGTAATGACCAGTGATG